GGGCGTCCGCTTTGTCCGATGTAGTGTTTTTCGCAGTTGGCACAATTTATCTTGTAGATGATGTTTGATTTGTTTTCCTTTGTTATTTCATCTTTTGGTTTGCATAAGATTGATTGTAGTGATTTTGTCGGTTTGTGTGCCACACCTATTCCGAAGGTTTTCAGCAGTCTCGTTGCGGTTTCTGATATTCCTTGTATATGTGGTAGGGTGATCCTTTTGTTGATTTTTGTGCTTGACTTGAGTTCTAATGCTGCGTGCGGTTGGTATTTTTTGATGAAGTTGATGGGGTAGTCGTTCTTCTGAAATACATCCTTTAGGTATTTCTCTTCATTTCTTCGTGCTGCCAGTGTGTCCTCGCCCTCTTGAACAAATTGTGTACGCAGTTGATTTTGTGAGCTCTGGGGTTGTTGCTATTGTAGTTGAGAATTTAATCCGTATGGGTCGGTTTCCTATATACTTGAGTTTCCAGTTTTCCTGTGTCGGTTCTAGTGATCAATATATCCAAGAATGCTAGTTGGTTGTTTGACTCCTGCTCCATGATGAACTTGATATCATCGAAGACGTTGTTGATCAGGTTGTAAGTGTTTTCTAGTTCATTCTTTTTGACGATGACGAAGGTGTCGTCTACGTAGCGAATCCAAATTTTTGGTTTGATCACTGGTAATATAGCGGCTTCTAGTCTTTGCATCACTGCCTCTGCGATTAATCCTGATATTGGTGGTCCCATTGGTGTCCCTTTCGTTTGTTCGTAGATTTTGTTGTTGAATTGAAAGTATATTGTTAGGCATAGATTGATGAGTTCCTGTAGAATTTGAAGCTTCGTGTATTTAGTGAGGTTTGTGTCGTTGTTGAGCAGCAGGGATATAGTTTCTTCTGCTAATTTTGGTTCAATTGAGGTGATTAGTACTGTCACGTCGAAGGATATCATCAGTTCGTTGTTGTTGATTTGGATGTCCATAATTTGGTCCAGGAATTGTGTAGGGGATTTGATTGAGTGGTTGGATGAATCTAAATTTGAATTACCTACGTAGACGACACCTTCGTCATCGTCAAAAAGAATGAACTAGAAAACACTTACAACCTGATCAACAACGTCTTCGATGATATCAAGTTCATCATGGAGCAGGAGTCAAACAACCAACTAGCATTCTTGGATATATTGATCACTAGAACCGACACAGGAAAACTGGAAACTCAAGTATATAGGAAACCGACCCATACGGATTAAATTCTCAACTACAATAGCAACAACCCCAGAGCTCACAAAATCAACTGCGTACACAATTTGTTCAAGAGGGCGAGGACACACTGGCAGCACGAAGAAATGAAGAGAAATACCTAAAGGATGTATTTCAGAAGAACGACTACCCCATCAACTTCATCAAAAAATACCAACCGCACGCAGCATTAGAACTCAAGTCAAGCACAAAAATCAACAAAAGGATCACCCTACCACATATACAAGGAATATCAGAAACCGCAACGAGACTGCTGAAAACCTTCGGAATAGGTGTGGCACACAAACCGACAAAATCACTACAATCAATCTTATGCAAACCAAAAGATGAAATAACAAAGGAAAACAAATCAAACATCATCTACAAGATAAATTGTGCCAACTGCGAAAAACACTACATCGGACAAAGCGGACGCCCCCTTCACCTTCGCCTACATGAACATCAATTAGCAGTCAAACGGCATGATATCTCTTCACTTATATCAATACACGTGGACAACTGCGGACACTCGTTTGATTGTAAAAATGTGGAAATCTTAGACAGAGGAAACTCCGAAAACACCAGAGAATTTTTAGAAGCCTGGCACTCAGGTCAATCAGCAATCAACAAGCATATTGAAATCAATCCAATTTATCAACCAATCAGAAAAATCATGCACAAACATAAGAACAAAAATCAAACCAATGAGAGACACAACCAAAACAAAGAAGTAAACAACGACAAATTTAAGGTCAATCAGAACCAATCAACGTCGAGGTGCACGGAACAAGCTTTGAGACACATATGGAGAAATTCAAACACTTCACTTCTATCTGAAGTTTGTGCTGATGATGTCGTTCAGAAGAACGATGAAAGCTCCACGACCAAACCATCCAGCTCAGAGAACAAAACTCCACCAAACTTACCGAAGACTAAGGCGCTTCAACCCCGACCAGTGGAAAATAGGTGCCACTTCCAGACCGACCGGATCCCTGCCGCTTGTTACCGCGAGCCTTCCTTTTTATGTAGGAAACCAACCACAAGCATAAAACTACAGAAAACAGGCTTCCCATGCAGTAGCGTTGATCGCCCAACAAACGTTTCACAAGCGTTGGTAAAACGCAACCGACGTCCTTCGTATTTAGACAGAGTGATGCGATTTCAAAAATTTTCGTCGCTTTCCAACGAATATGTTGGTCTTTTTCTTCAAGACATTGAGATTTTCTCAAAATAAGTCGACATTCTGGTGAAAAATACCTGACCATAAGGGAAATTCCGGGGTCTTAGGTCAATGGAGAATGGAATGTGCGTACATATGTATCAAGTAACATAAACTACTTTTCAGATATCAATAAAACAAATAGCCGGTACAGGTTGCGAGGCCCAATTTCCATACTTTGGGGGAGTCACAATTAAAAGTTTAAGGGAAATTGCACAAAACTTTAAAACCTACCCATGTCTGGGGAAATTCCTCCAAATAACTTTGAATTTCGGGGAAATCGCCAAAACTGTTGGATACTCTTATTTCCCAAAACTTTAGGAAAAACTACGAATTTTGATAAGATCAGAAGGTTGAGGAGGGATCGACAAAAGTTTAGCACTGGGTAGGCCAAATGTCGACATATATGTACGGTCAGTGAAATATCAGAAACTACAAAACAAAGATTCCCCGTAGTGCTTCTTGCATTGTTTAGTAAAAACTCGCTACGTTGCTTGGACTAGAATATAAGCATCTCAAACTGTGAATCTCCCTTCACCATAAAGCTGTTTCTGGCGAATTTAATTAGGATCAGTACTTTCAGAGTCGCTAACAGATTATTGTGAAAAGTACGAAAGTCCCATATGAACACCTTGTTTCATCAAACTCCTTGTAGCCTGGATAGGATATCATAATTTGCAAATATTCGCGTCTAACAGTAGTAAAAACTAAGCGTCTTACGACAACCGGAGACCCACTATTTGAGCCAAAGAATAACGGAGTACATTATTCATACTAAGCAGAAAAAGATGTGGGATAGCATCCCAGTCGCGAGCCTTACTCAATCTGAATGCTCTTCTACCTTTGCGGAAACCAGTGGTGACTAGATTAGTGGATGATATTACTTCCGGGATCCTTTGGATAAATCAGGCAAACGACAAACTGACTTACCCTACTGTACATAGTTTAATTACCTGAGTTATGTGTACTAGATTTTGAGTCAAAATTCTAGTTTGAAGCCGAATGTTAGTTCGTCATTTTTAACAACGCAGCTAATACAAGGGTTTCAAATGACTGTCAAGAGCAGAATGTTTGCGATCGTTGACTTAGCAATGTCATAATGCCTTGAGTAAATACGACCATTATGAAACAAGTTGATGTAAATAAAATGTCACAGAGACGATATATGTGCAGCATTCTTCGCAACCAAAAAGTAATAAAACTGGCAACGTTCAGTGCATATATATAGTCCTATCTGAATAAAACTATTTCGGGTCAGGACAGACTTCACATTTTTTCAGGCTACGGAGTATCTTAGGACTCGTCAAAGGACCTTTTTAGTTTTAGTATGTGTTAATTCTATCGAGGCGTCGAAGTAACCCCGATTGAGATACGCGCAAAATCGAAGTTCCAAAACAACGATTTTGTGCGTATCTCAATCGGGGTTACTCCGACGCTTCGATAGATTAACAGTTCTCAACTTTGGTCTCATTTGGTGTGGATACAGTTCTGAACTTTGGTCCTAATTGGAGGGAATACTTGCTGTAACGAATTTGGTCGGAATCCTGTTTGGTTCATTCATCCCAACGATGACTAGAACGAGAAGAATGAAGTACAACGATGACAGTTCCCAAGACACAGACAATTCCAGTGCTGAAAATATTATTCCTTCAGTTTCTAAGGTGAATTCACCTATTCCTTTAAATCTTGCCTTTGATATTGTTAAACCTAACCCCAAAGACAGTTGCTCGGTAGGAGACAACTATGTAGAGACTAGATACAGCGTAGAAGACGAAGTGGTTTCTAGGGAAAGGGAAGTAGAAAAGATTGAGCTGGAGATTAGAGAACTCCAACTACGCAAGCGATTGTTAGAGCTAACTCCGAACTCTTCAAACAAAGTGAGAAGACCTAGGGAGACTACCGAGTTGTCGGGGTCTCGATCCGAGGATAAAACTTCAGTAGTTACAGCAAGTCACCGATACATCAATGTACCTTTGAGCGATGAAATGCAATTCAAAGCATAGGTAGATAGCGTCAAGGCTCTATTTATGTCAGTAAGCTTACCGAAGATAGAAATCATGAAATTTGACGGGAGTCCTCTGAAATTTTGGACGTTCATGAAGGGATTCAAGGTTAACATAGCTGACAGAGTAAATGATGACACTCAGAAATTAATGTACCTGATACACTATTGCGAAGGTATTACCAGAAAAAGGTTATACTGAGGCAATTAAAATCCTACATGAACAGTTCGGCAGACCACATGACATCGCGGAAGCCTTCTTAACAGAACTGTTAAGTGGATCACCATTGAATCAAGACGACACAACAGGTCAACTTAATAAAACTTCAGTCTTCATAAACTGTTTAGAAGCAAAGAGTTCTATCGAGGATGGACCCACGCCGCCCCTTTCTTTAACCACAGTAGCGCCTGAAAATTCTTCAAATCGTTCGTTGCTGTTCATAGATGATCCTGGTTTATGCCTTAAACTCTCTCCTGATGTGGCACTCTGTTGATTCTATCGAAGCGTCGAAGTAACCCCGATTGAGATACGCGCAAAATCGAAGTTCCAAAACAACGATTTGTCTACAAAGGCGGTTCTTTATTAAATAATACACAAAATTTAGTTACAAACCTCAACTTGTGAGGTGTCTAGGCGTTTAAACGCGTCGTTCAAGAATGAAAATAGCAAAGGCTTTCTGTAAGAGTAATATAAAGAATGATTACAACATACGATAGTCCAAAGACAGCCGATAGCTGTGTCTAAATTTGGTAACAGTTTATGAACAACCGAAACTCGAACCAAGAGCAAACAATATGGAAACTGTTGCATTCAAACAAATGCACAAAACTGTGGATAATCGTTACAGTAATTATAATGATAAATACAATTATAAGTAAAATAAACGTTAAAGATATAGGTGAACATTCCAGAATGTTACAGTACAACTTGTTACAACATAAGTGTGAAAATTGTTGGGCATACAGCTGCCTACTGAATGTAAATAAGTAGTATAAAACAACATACAAAAGAGTAGAAAAGGGACATGTAGGGACAATGTAAGACAAAATAACAGTATGAGATCTTTCCCAACAAGTGTTATCTAAGCTACTATTCTTCATTGACGATGTTTAGTTTAGAGGGAAGTTTGAGACTAAGTTGATGAACCAACACTTTAAGAGGATATGGTTCGACTTAGAAAATTGAAATAACAATGACCCTACTTTTCTTTTCTAGTTGGACAGTAAAACCACTTGATTCCTATGTTTTACTCGCCCCCAAACGCCCTGGTATGGCCGAGAGTGGGGTGGGTTCGCCCTTCCTCTCGAAATACTCTCACACGGACGCGCGTATACAGCCTCTGCCAGGGAAGTCCTACTCACTGCCTTCTCGTGGCGGGGGTGTTGTTTACGAAAATGAGAGGACGAAAAGCAAATGTCCGGTGCTTTAACCGGATTCCAAACCAATGGTGCACATGGGCACCAGTATCCTGCGGGAACAAATGGCGTATGAACCAATTTTCGGTCACCGGCTACCATGGGACTGCATCTCCTTACGATGCTCCACTGCCTTGTGGGTTAGACCTTTAGGTCAAAGGCTCGGGGTGTGGCCCCCTAGGGGAATCACCTGCTTCGGTCTGGGCACCCGGGCAGTAACGCAGCCCACACGCAATTAGTGAACTGAAATTGTGTGGCGCATATATGTTTGGCGCACTCCTGTACCAATATATGTGTTCAAATAAATAAAAATACATTTAGAGTATTGTAATATAGTGTTTCCCTTTTTTTACTTAAAAAAGATGAAATACTCAAGATCTTATATAAACGTGTGGAATGAAATCAGTCCACAGACTCGAATTCCAGTCTTGCGTAGTAGGCCGTAGATCGCTGTCTTTAGTCATCAAAATATAAGCGACCTACAGCACCCAAAACATCCTCATAAGTAACTAATTAGGTTCAGTCGCAACACAAACCTTAGGGCGAATAACAAGTGAGCTGGGATGTAGGTATAATTTCCACACAATGCGAGCGGTCACTTTCTGAAATTTGCTACTGACCTAGGCAGTTCCAGGAAAATCCCCGTTGTCCTACAAGGGGAAACATGATATATATTCATGAACTTGGGACTATTTCATAATAATTTACTGGTACTTCTTTCTAGGTACCTGGAGGAATCGGTGATTCAGTTCTGTCAGACACGAAAACTAGTCAAGCGAAAGCTTCTACTTCGCACATAACCATCCACTATAGCTCAACTGTCACCAGGTTGACAATTTAAATAAACAGATATTCAGAACATTCTCATGTTTGCTCCAACTTTTTTCTCAATGTTCCATGAGTTTGCGATTGGTCTAGTTAACGTGCCGTATTCAACTTACATCCAGTACTGCTAACAGACTGAAAGCCAGTGGGATTGAAAAGTAAACTTGCAGATCTTATTAATATGAGGGGATACATAACCTTTAACTTTACGTAAATGTATCTATATAACTGTATGTTCCCGTGGTATATTTTCATTTAAGACAGGCGTTATTAAAGTCTGCAATATTATTGAGGTAACGTCCCAATTATTTACAAATGCCACGTAAAACAGCTTAGCTATCACTACTAGGACGTTTTCTTTCAAATAATGTACGATTCTATGATGAACAATTTATTCATCTGCTAAAATTGCAAAAAACAAAACTTCGTAGCCAGCACATAAGAAATTTACTCAACAAACTCGTGATATCGACCTAGAAGTGCTGGGAGTTAGTTCAATAGTAGAGTACATGACTGAAGAACTATGCTATAATAAAAACCCAGACAAATAACGTCCCACGTTGCGAATATAGAATAATTTCGTAAAGCGTTCATAGACAGTACTCATGCGTTTGTTTTGTAAGCAAAACTTAAACTACAAATCAAAACAGAAATCTGCACAATAAGATTCATAGTTCGGTCGAATGAAAAAACTGAACATCTTCAAGTATCAGACTGCGGGATACGTGCTATTTGTGCTCAAGAACGTTCTGAAAAATATCTTCGCTAGTTATACGACAAAGTATCCGATGTTCATCTTGCTGTGCTAACGCGGTATGGCAACTTGGACCGATGCATATATGTGCCTAGTCGTACGTTGTAACTGACTGACTGATGAAGTATAAATAAATTATGCTAATTCATGTATACGAAAATCCATGTCCAAATGAAATATATCCCCACAAAGTCGAATCAACTATACTTTGAGCAAGCTGAAATTGTACCTCTGGTGTTTAATTGTAGGTTATTTTTAACGATAATCGAGAATATAACAGCACATAACCAGCAAGTCTTCAATTGGTTAGACGATGTATGATACAACTAAGTACCCTGACATCCAAAGAACACTATACAGTCTGAACTGAAGGAATAATTTACAAACCTCATTTAGAGTATCGCCCATGGCATTCTCGCCTACATGTGGAAGAAACTTAGCAAATTTGATTAGGTGACAGTAAATTCAGTGAGTAATTATAGACCTATTTAACGCCTGAAGCAGTTTGAAGTCTATAAAAACTAGGTAAAAACAAGAGGTATTATACCATTAAGTCACGTAGAAACAATCATCCAGTTCAATGGTACATTAAATTGGCTATGAAGATCACGACAACACCACCACCTATGTCTTATTGAGTAGTAACAAAAAACATGAGACCACAAGACAGGACTTGAAGGGTGGTGAAGCATCAAATCACAATTCCTTAAGGACCACAATCAAGAAGCGCAAACATTAACGTGACTCAAATGAAGACGTGTATATCTGTATACATCTTTACCTTTTGATGTTACCCATAATTCCTGTCTCTGTATAACCTGGATTGAAAGCACCGAGACTAGACACCAGAAGTGCTTATAATTTAATAGAACTAGCGTATAATGAAGACTAGCCCAAGAAACTAAAGGAAAATGAATTCAAGTATAAATACCACGACACTACTACGGAGTGCGAAATATTTAATGACATTCCTGATAAATATTGTCAAATATACTAAACTTGGAGGAAGTGGCCTTCATTAGATACTAAGTAAAATATACAAGCTAGTTGGAACGCATGTAAATTTTGTTGCAGCGCCTCACATCACACTATGAACATATTTATTTAGAAACGCTAACGGCCGGAAAAGTAAGTTTAAGATTATGTCAATATAGTCAACGAATACTTAAATGCGTTTATATTGACATACCAGGTCGAAATTTCAGCAAATGAATTCAACTATAACTGTGTAATATATGACCGGACGTCTTAGACGCGACAATGTCCGTTAACCAATGGGATAATCAAATAAATTTTTTGAACAAAGATTGGAAATGGAGCACTATGTTTATATTGAGAAAAAATAATACGTGATACTTCCTGACGGGACTGGTAATATCCGATTGTTTATCCAGAACATTATTTGCCTAAACACACATACCAGTACAAAGGAATGCCGAATACATATGCTACACACTAGTTTTGTGTGCGAGCTGTGATACTGCCCATGTGCCCAGACCGAAGCAGGTGGTTTTCCTAGGGTACCACACAGACTTCAACCTAAAGATCTAATGCACAAGGCAGAAAATGTTTGGGGATAAACGTGAAATCAGGAGTTTATACGCTTAAAGTCAGGAATCTAAGGCTAAAATTATAAACTAGGAAGATGTCATAACTTTCCGGACGTCAGTCATAAACGGCGACAAACAACCATTGTTTATAATTATTTACATTTCTAGGCAGTAGAACAGTTTTATTAAGTAGTCACATAGAATGACGGTCCCCTTTATGTAGGGAACATTAACCTCAACAATATCAAAACTAACAGCACATACTACACACTGAACGAAACTATGTATTGTCGAGATCAACTGACACGAAGTGTAATGTACTAATGATGACTAAAATCAAAGTCTCATCGACATATTGCTAAGACTAAAGATTATTTGGCTCGGGTACAATTAGCGAATATTACATGTAAATCAAGTCACACTGCATCCATCAGAATCGTGGCAAAATCCGTGTAATGCTAAAGTCGTGCATTGATGAAACTGCCCAATAAACAGCCCAAGTTAGAAGTCAGTGTACCAAAACAATTGTGTGATTACCCCATTTTTATTATTCTCATAATAATCCTTTCATTAGAAACGTAGTTTGTGGAAAAACCAAGGATTTTCATTTGATTTGTACCTATGGAAAATGAGCGAAAAGAAAAATAAGCTACCTTTGCTGTAGTTTTAGTTTAGCCTCTAATTTAGCCTTCTTTCGTAATGACTTGTCCCCCAATGAATTCTTATTGATAATCTTGGTGTCAAAAACAATATTCACTGAATGCCTTGTAGGCATTAAATGGTTGTAATTCACGACTTTCACGAAAGGCTTGATTTTACAACGGCTTTCCATCCGTTTCTTCCCCATTCTTCTGAGGATGCGTCGCGGATATCTGTCGATCCCGACAACCAAAGCGTGCCCATAAGGTTTCTCTCCTGAACCCTCATCATAGCTCTTAATAACGATTGCTTTCCTGCCTGCGTAACGTCCTGCCAAAACTAAGACAACAACACCGGGTCGCATAAGCCGAACTGCCGTCCTAAGTACATGATAATGGAACAAATAACACCTACTTTCCGTCACGCGACATCGTTTTTGAAAATGTGAGCTCCGTGCTCGATAACTCAAACAACAGCTCAATATCACAACCTCGAAATGTTATTGGATAAAAACGCCCCTGATTTTCATTTATCACATTAGTCGTTTGTTTATTTATCTATATAACTTGTTTTGATTCTATTCGTAGTGTTTTGTTTATGTGCACTACTACTTAAGTAGCCTCGGCAGTAATAATTTCAACTAGGTTAATTCATGTGTATTCCCTCCGCAAGTATTTCCGTAAGGACCCAGTTTTCCTTAAATGACTTTTATTCATACTAACTAGTTCAGACTCATCTAGAAGAGCTCTGGTAGTCAACCATAATGGAAAAGCGGAGGCATAATCTGAGATTTGTCGGGTAGAGACAGGTATCTACCTCAGTACAACGGAATTTGGTCACGCAATTTCGTGGATTGGTTGATGTTAGAAACTGTCACCATTGGATGCCGGCTCAGTGGTCCAGTTGGTTACGCGTTCGCGCGCGAGACCGAAGGCTCTGGGTTCGAATCCCGCTCGCGGGATCGTGGATGCGCACTGCTGAGGAGTCCCACAGTAGGACGAAACGGCCGTCCAGTGCTTCCAGGTTTTCAATTGTGATGGTCTAACATCAATAGGTTCATGATCTCAATCAAAAACTTAATGATTGGAAAGTTAGTTTCTGATGCTGTAAACGTATATTATCCTCAGTGAGTTTCTGATAAACCGACTATAGCATCAAAGCAGATCAAAAGATCATAAATTTCTAGGACCCAACTGTATTGAGACTAGTAAATTTTAAAGTCTTCATCCATACCATCTTACCTCAGTCCTCTTGCTCGAGCACGGGTATTCTAGTCACCAAGTATATATGTGCTTGCTTAGGGGAGATATCTCTGGTCAGCCCTATCCAGTAATAAACCACAAACTCTTCGTTGTTAGACCTTATCTACAACTCGTTAACCTTCAGTGCTTTTCTATCTGTACTCCGAGTTTGGCTCTCAAAGTTCACTGCTACTTCTGGGATGCTGCGCTCACTGTAAGAGTGAGAACATAAAACATCCAGAATGTCGATAATATTAGCAAGCTTTCACAAACCTACAATAATCCAACGATATATGTAGCATATTTAGTGATTCATTCGCAAACGTTAATGCAGAGCAACCGGCTAACCTCAACCACTTACCACTTACACCCAATTACCGAGTAAATGTATGTTTTTGTGCTAAAAATACATCTGAAGAAATAAAAAGTCTCAAGACTACAATACGTATAAGAACCTAAGACATCCTCTCTATATTCTCTGAAATATATGACGATACTATTCAATCCACACTTCCTAGGATATTCGCTATTACATTAGACACAAGTGTATACTCAAGTAACTGGAAAACTAGCTACATTATCATACAATATGAGACTGGGGACACAAGGAATGCTGCTAGTTGCAGACCCATAAATATCACCCTAGTTATATAATAAATCACGGAGAAGGTTTTAAAAGGCAGTACTTCAGACTACTAACCAATGTGAAATCTTAACTTGACAGGTAGGTCGTGCTGAATATCACTTTGAGTTGTTTGATCATATAACACAATACGCGAGTTTCGAAAAGTGGCTATAGTCTTCTATTTTGATATGTGTTTGGCAGTTGACAAGTGAAACTCCACCTGGAGTCTCCTGTGGCTACTGCCGGTCCCAAGTCCGGATAAAGTAGGAGGGTTGGGCATGGGGTTAGTGACCCCATTCCGTAGAAAACCAACTTGCTAAAAACGCTGACCAGTTGACAGGGCACCTAACAGCACATTATGTGATAAACTATATTCTGTTGGAACCTGCGACCCACTACTTAGCTGGGTTAAATCATTCTCGGATGATCGGTACTAAATCGCCAAAATCAGCCAAAATACACTAGCACCTAAAAGGGTAGCTTGTTGGGTTATACAAAGGGTTGTTTTGGTCACCTTATATTCTTAATATATATGATATAAAGTTTGTGTCCGCCAAGTGATTAATTGCTGTCCTTTTATGCTCAGTAGTCTTCGCATAAGCAATACATTGAAAACGGAAAGAATACAAAGGTATTTCACAAAAATAACTTTCGAAATGGAGTGGGATCAGAGTTGCTTTGCACGATTTGACACGTTAAGGCTGGAACGCTTTTGAAGGGGAGTTAGGCTTAGTCTTACAGTTTACTGTAGACACATAAACTATGGTATGCGCTACTTATGAAGATAAGTATAAGTAGCATGTAGCAGGGATTGGAAGTGAGAAAAGTGATGTTGTTGGCTCTCTTGTTTGAAGTGTGTAGTCCATCCTTACTGCCTACGAAGAGAATATTGTTCGACGTTTAGCGGGACTGAATGTTTACTGATAAGTTGGTAATTAGTGTTCCCAATCATGAATTTCCCCAGACTACACATTTTGACAGTACGAAATTGATGAACTCTGTTAAAGGCTGTATGGATTCATCCGTGAAATGTTTTGATAGTTCATGTATTTCAAAGTTACATTTGTGTACTTAAATATCATCAGATTATTGAGTTTCTCAATCTGACTATGTTCAAGCTGAAGACCTTAAGTTTTTTATCTTAGAGTCTAAGGAGGTCAGAATCAGCGTTGGGTATCTACCGAAGTATTGATTTCGTTGTTTACATTGTTTTGCCTGTGAAAACTCTTAGATTTCGTATGTCAGACTTTATTATCATCCTTTTATTAGTTGATATGATACTATGAAACATAGTCGCCTATTTCATATTATTTCACTTGATAAAAAGCGGTACAGATTTCGTAGTACTACACTGTTAGTTTTCTCTATCGTAGTATACAGCCGACCTGCAGAAAATAAAACTTGTTGAAGCAGTGAAGGATGGAAGTGTTGAAAACATGTAGCGCGAAAAAAGTGCTGAGTGCAACACAACAGTTAATGCAGGTGTTATGAATACACATATGCGATCCAAATAAGTGTAGATGCGTGGCACGTTCTACCATAGATGTTGTCATGATAATGTGTTTATTCCGAAAATGTCGAAGAAGCTTCTAGTTGATTTGATTGCACGATCGACTGGAAATGAACAAAGTTAAAAGATTGTTCCATGACACGTACATGTGTCGATCCGAACCACTCGTTTTTATCAGAATATCAGAGTCAGGGAAACTTTGTTGCTTTCAACCGTCGGATGCATTACGTTGCCTTTTTTGGTGCTGTAATTTCATGATGTGACTAAAAGGTCAACAAAGAATAAGCGACCTTCTAAGTGAACTGTCTACTGATGTCTATTACGTCCGCTTTAATATGTTCGCGGATGATTATTCATTTCTTACTTGTAGAAATGTTGTAGAATGATGGTCTACTATGATATTAGTACTGCGCTAATAATAGACCTAGTCCTAAAATTGTAGACTTTTCATGATATAACTGCCTAATCTATAAGATCTTACGTAGAAGTCATACCATCTTCTACACCAACTCATCGTATCATAACAATCACCAATACATAATGTAGAACAAGCTTAGGCTAGAGATAGAACAATATATTTATTATGAATAAAAGATATAAGTTAACATTCAACAAGGACCACGCCTGCAAGTCCGTGCCCTGCCATTCGATTAACTCCAAGTAATTCAACTCCTCGTTAGGTATTCCTTCGCGTTAAATATTGAACATCTACTTTCCGAGTAGTCTCGTGTTCAGCTTTGAGGATTGTGTGGTTATGGTTCAATGCCACTACACCCTCACAAGACCAACTGTAAGTTATATTTGAAAGCAGCGTATACCAGCTTAGTTTAATAAATAAGTTATGTCAAACCAGTGGGTAAATTGCATCTGAAACTAGTTGAGAAAGTAATACAACCATCCATTTTAGGGTAAAGCAATGCATAGCAACGAATATCATCGTCGAAAACTTTTTGATTTCTGTTAGACATCGAGAACTATTAGATTCAAAAAATAAAGACGTTTAACTTTATGGTGAACAAGAGTATCTTGGTGGTCAAAGTGAACAAACGTTTTGAACAAAGTCAGAGGTGGTTGAGAGTGAGTTTAACAATTCGAGTTTACAGTGAGTTAGAGAAGTGTCTCAAGTGAAGTATGATGTACGATTAGCAGGATGTTTAGATTGGGGTCTTTAGATAGTACTTACATTCAAAAAATGACAAGATCAGGATCCAATATTCCACATCCTTGTTTCCAGCTCGTATAAACCGATGGACAGTTTTGTTATTTGGCATGGCGCAAGGTATTTTTTCATGTCCAGTGAGCTGCCTGAATGTACCAGACAGTTTGGATGTTAGTTGTGAAGTTGCATGCTTTGCAGCTCAACTGAGTACGTTTGTCTCAGAACAGTAGGGTTTCTCGATAACAATAGCTGTCATATTAACATGCAGGAAGTTGGTTGTTTGCAATGTGAAGAATAACAAAGTGGTAATTTAAGTTCTAAGGGGAGATGCTTGTTTCAGGAATAATTAATTGGTAATGCGAACGGTACGAGATTGGATTGAAAGAATAGGATGTTAAAATAATAATAATATATTTCTACTAGGACAACTGCACGCCATTTTTACAGGCGTGATCTATAAATTACATTTCTTGGCTCATAGTATGATCTCATGTAAGGTCGTTAAATAAATGAAATCAACAAAAGTGAATAACAGTACATTCGTGAAGGTGTCTTTGAACGTTAATGATTAGGTCTATGCTCTAGTATTACACTGAGTACAGTTTTCGAAATATTTTGCGAAGTGTAATCGTGTCCACGTTACACACCAGATCCAATCTCGGCATAACGGTGTTCGATTTGTGTTCGTGCTATGTATTTAGACAACACAACTTTTTAAGTTTACAGTTGTTATAAAGCAGATTTGTAGAGCGCTTGGTGTGAACTATAACCCTGAGAATACCTTCGACTCTCCTGTAGTTTAACGAGAATAATCCCAGCTACTGGAGAGTGTCCACTTAAAATCTATGTTCCTATCATGTCACTCGCATGATTTTCCGTATCTGTATTTGGTCTAAGAAATTTATGTCTATCTCGAAGACAGGAGGCCTAAGAACTTTG